GGAAGGGAGAGGGATAGAGAATTAGAAACATTGATCAGCTGCCTCCTGCACACCCCCTACTGGGGATGTGCCCGCAACCAAGGTACCTGCCTTTGACAGGGCTATCTTCAACTTTTTAAAAAATATATTTGTATTGATTTCAGAGAGGAAGGGAGAGGGAGAAAGAGATAGAAACATCCCTGATGACAGAGAATCATGGATGGGCCGCCTCCTGCACACCCCCTACTGGGGATGGAGCCCCCAACCTGGGCATGAGCCCTGACCAGGAATTGAACCTGGGACCCTTCAGTCCGCAGGCTGACGCTCTATCCACTGAGCCAAACCAGCCAGGGCTGTGTAATAGTTTTCAAAAACATTTATTTTTATTTTCACTGTAGTATGCCCTCCTGTCCAGCTATGCCTACTGTCCCTGTGGGTGGGGCTTGCATAAGTCAGTCATTTGAGAAGGGGAAGGAATACTGCTCAGTCCGATACCCTGGGGGGCTGGGACCTGAGAATTGGATTCCTTTTGCAGCCAATACTGGTTGAAAACTGATGCATGTCTGATCGTCGGAGATGTCTGGTGTGCCCAGTTTCTAGTCTTTTCCTCTTGTAAATTGACTTGCTTCCTTCGCCCTATAAATTTGAAGGGTGCTGATGTGTTAAATCCCATACTACCGGGCCATCTGCTTTCAATCTCTCAGTATTTAGATATCCCTTGTCCGTTGTCATCTCCTCTTCTGTTTCCTCTATGTGAAGATTTATACGTGGCCCTGGCCGGGTTGGCTCAGTGGATAGAGCGTTGGCCCTGGGACTGAAGGGTCCCGGGTTCGATTCCGGTCAAGGGCACGTACCTCGGTTGCAGATCCCCCAGGCCCTGGTCGGGGCGCGTGAAGGGGGCAACCCATCGCTGTGTCTCTCTCACATCGATGTTTCTCTCTGTCTCTCCCTCTCCCTTCCACTCTCTCTAAAAATCAATGGAAAAAAGACGGTTGGGTGTGGATTAACAGAAAAAGGGAAAAGAAGATAGAAGATCTGGAAGTATTTGAAAAAGTCTCTGCCGTCATTTTGCAGGGAGTTTCTGGAGCGACCACCGATGAGCGCCGACATTCAATCTTCGGTGCTTAGGCCGAAATCCTCCCCATGAAGATCTTACGGGCATTGGAAATTCTATTAGCGGGAGATGGAGCCCTCCATTTCATAATTAGAAAAATCCCAGGGAGACGCGACGCATTAACTCTTCATTATAAATGGCTGTTATGCTTCCCTCTCCTTAATTGACCCCCCGATTCGGAATTAATTGCTCCCGTATCCCTGTTATTATCTCCTTTGCGTGTTTGTGGCGTCTGGTTGGCCGGCCTCGGAGCCGAGCTCCGAAGGCGTTGGGATTCTGTTTTAAGGCGCTTCTGGGTGCGAGCGCCCGACGGCACCCATCACGGAGCTCGGTGCGAAGGGGTGGCCTCGCGCTGGCCTCTCCGGTAACGTGGGCTGATGCACAGTCAGAATTAGCGGGAGGACTTTCGGTTGTGGCAGGACTATTTCTCACCCGTGAGCGAGCAGTCGGAACCAGATGTGCGCCGCGAGCCCAGCCTCTCCTCTAGGTCTGTTCCAGGAGTTGATTGATGATTGGGTTTCGACGCCGGCACTGGGAGCAGATGGAACCTGCGAGCCACGATACGATAACAGTATTACTTTCGGTTCGTATAGTTCTCTCATTGTTGAAGGTGTTTCCTACCCATCTGTATGTTGTTGTTTTAAAAATATGTTTGTATTGATTTTAGAGGGAGAGGAAGGGAGCAGGAGAGAGAGAGAGAGAGAAACATCCGTGATGAGAGAGAATCATGGATCGGCTGCCTCCTGCACGCCCCTTACTGGGGATCAAGCCCGCAACCCAGGCAAGTGCCCTGACCGAAAATCGAACCCTGACCTCCTGGTCCACTGGTTAACACTCAACCTCTGAGAGACGCTAGTCGGGCTTTTTTCATTTTATTTTTAACGATGACTAGTTATATCCAATGAGAACACCTATGAAAATCAAAAGGAAGTGGTCCCCCAACACCCCCCCTCAACCCCCCCCATACCTTTGCAATTTTCAGTGGGGGAAAAAATAGCAATGCTTATCTTTATTATTATTTTTTTTATGAGCAAAGCAGGACTTCAAACCATGTGAAGGATGACTCCCTTTTCAGAAGTTAGAGGCACTGCGTGTCTTGCCAGCCAGTCAGAGCTGTCCATCTGCTGGTCCCCTCCACATGGAGGGAGCAGCTGTCGCTTCAGCAGATAAGAAGATGGGGCGTCTCGCCCTCAGATGCCTGAACAAACCCCGGGGAAGAGGCGCGGCAGTGCCTTTGGCGGCCTGCATCTCCGCGTTATTAACACAAAGTGCCAAATGCGTTTGGAGGTTGGACGCACATAAACTTGCTTTACAGGGAAACACTCCAGGTGGGTGCAGCACCTGTTGTCATTACCTATCGTTGCAGAGACAGGAATGGCGGGCGCCATGTGCTCACACCGAGATGCTCCCGTAACCATGGGCATGCGTGGAACCCCGAGCGTCCCAAATCCCACGACCCCTGGGTACCACAGGGCTGCCTCCGCCCCTGCGCAACCAACAAAATTTACCCCAAACTAGCAGCTCCCCTAGGTCTCACAATGGCCCAGTTTCTCTCCAAGTCGTTTTCCCCGATTAAGGGAACCTCTGGGCGCTATTGCAACCCAGAGGAGCAGAAAGTAATGTACTTAGATCATCTTAGATCCCATCCTCCCCTTTGCACTGTTTAATAGCCCAGAATCCAATCAGCAATTTGTATTGGTTATTGCTTTTCAATCTTTGGGATGGATGGATGGATAAGTGGATGGATGGATGGATGGATGGAAAGATGGATGGAAGAATAGGTGGATGGATGATGGATGGATGGATGGATAGTTGGGTGGATGGAAGGGTAGGTGGATGGATGGGTGGGTAGATGGATGGATGAATAGATGGATGATGGATGGATAATTGGGTGGATAAATAGATGGATGGAAGGATAGGTGGAAGGAAGGATGGATGGATGGATGAATAGATGGATGATGGTTGGATGGATGATGGATGGATGGATGGATGGATGGATGATGGATGAATGGATAGATGATGGATGGATAGATGGATGATGGATAGATGGGTGGGTAGATGGATGGATGAATAGATGGATGATGGATGGATGGATAGGTGGATGAATGAATAGATGGATGATGGATGGATGGATAGGTGGATGAATGAATAGATGGATGATGGATGGATGGATAGGTGGATGAATGAATAGATGGATGATGGATGGATGGATAGGTGGATGAATGAATAGATGGATGATGGATGGATGGATAGGTGGATGAATGAATAGATGGATGATGGATGGATGGATAGGTGGATGAATGAATAGATGGATGATGGATGGATGGATAGGTGGATGAATGAATAGATGGATGATGGATGGATGGATAGGTGGATGAATGAATAGATGGATGATGGATGGATGGATAGGTGGATGAATGAATAGATGGATGATGGATGGATGGATAGGTGGATGAATGAATAGATGGATGATGGATGGATGGATAGGTGGATGAATGAATAGATGGATGATGGATGGATGGATAGGTGGATGAATGAATAGATGGATGATGGATGGATGGATAGGTGGATGAATGAATAGATGGATGATGGATGGATGGATAGGTGGATGAATGAATAGATGGATGATGGATGGATGGATAGGTGGATGAATGAATAGATGGATGATGGATGGATGGATAGGTGGATGAATGAATAGATGGATGATGGATGGATGGATAGGTGGATGAATGAATAGATGGATGATGGATGGATGGATAGGTGGATGAATGAATAGATGGATGATGGATGGATGGATAGGTGGATGAATGAATAGATGGATGATGGATGGATGGATAGGTGGATGAATGAATAGATGGATGATGGATGGATGGATAGGTGGATGAATGAATAGATGGATGATGGATGGATGGATAGGTGGATGAATGAATAGATGGATGATGGATGGATGGATAGGTGGATGAATGAATAGATGGATGATGGATGGATGGATAGGTGGATGAATAGGTAGATAATAAAAGGATAGGTAGATAAATAGATACATAGATAAACCCATTTAAAATGATATTATGAGACCTCTGATGAAGGGGATCTCTGGATGCTATTGCAACAAAGAGGGGCAGAATGTAATGGCAGGGGGGCAGGGG